TAAGATCGGGTACTGGCAAATTCCCATGCATCCTGAAGATAAAGAAAAGACAGCCTTTGTAACACCTGACGGCCTTTTTGAATTCAACGTGATGCCATTTGGACTGTGCAACGCGCCGGCGACGTTCGAGCGATTTATGGACACTGTTCTTCGTTGCTTGAAGTGGAGCATTTGCATGTGCTATCTCGACGACGTCGTCATCTTTGGCCGCACCTTCAGCGAACACAATTCACGTCTGGATACTGTACTGACTTGCATAAGAAACGCTGGCCTTGTTGTTAACTCAAAGAAGTGCTACTTCGGAGACCGACAAACCCTTGTTCTCGGGCACCTAGTCGATCAGGAGGGCATCCGTCCAGATCCCCAAAAGACAGCAGCCGTTGAAGCATTCAATGTGCCGCGCTCTGTGAAGGAGCTCCGCAGTTTTTTGGGGCTTTGCTCCTATTTTCGCCGCTTTATACCTAAATTTGCCGATGTCGCGTATCCGCTGACATGTTTGCTACGGAAGAATACTCCCTTCGAGTGGACTCCGGAGTGCGAGTCCTCCTTTTGTCCACTGAAGTTCCTCCTGACGTCGCGGCCTGTTCTTCAACACTTCAACCCATCAGCTCCAAACAAACTGCACACAGATGCCAGCGGCATAGGAATTGGTGCCGTCCTAGTTCAACGCTATGGTAACCGCGAGCACGTGATTGCATACGCAAGTCGCTCCTTGAGCAGGCCCGAGCAGAATTACACTGTCACAGAACAAGAATGCCTCGCGGTAGTATTTGCGATTCAGCAGTTTCGGTCTTACTTATACGGACGCCCTTTTACAGTCGTCACCGACCTCCACTCATTGTGTTGGCTCGTCAACCTTCGAGATCCTTGCGGCCGTCTAGCGCGCTGGGCACTTCGGCTCCAAGAGTATAACTTCATAGTCTCGTACAAAAGTGGTCGACGACACGCCGACGCAGATTGCCTTTCGCGCATGCCACTGAGCACTACAGAGTGTGACGCCGATGACCTCGATCACCTCGTAGCTTCTGTGTCACCAAAGTTTCCCGACCTCAGTACTTTCAAAGATGAACAGCGAAAGGACACCAGGCTATCATCGCTTTGCACAGCTCCTACGGCATGCCATTTCTGTGTACGCAACGGACTCCTATATAAGAACTTTTCCAGCTTGGGGCAGCCAGCATGTTCACCCATCTTTGTTCACCCATCTTCGGCATGCGTAACAGTATGTTCACTGGCCAGCCACGCATTCCGGCACTAGGAACTGGCCAGTGCCACCGGACTTGTCAACATCCTGCAAGCTTGAGTGCTGTGCAGTGCAGTAAGGGACGCGGGAACGCGGACAAGTGAGTCAGGAATTTTGTGCGAGATATAGGTGTTGTTGAAGGGAAGAAAAAATAAAGGCTCCTGACGATTGCCTTGGTTCCCCAAATTGTACACGCTTCGTGGCCCTCCTTGTTGAGGCACGTCACGAAATTCCTTTTTAGTGACTTTCGTGGAATGCTAGCTACGTGTCAAGTTGACTGCTGTAGCACCCGTCTTTCTCTCTCGTTCATGTGAGCTCTGGCAGCTATCACAATGTGAACAGTTTCATCTTTTTTTAAGCCAAGAAAGTTTGCTGCGACCGAGAAGTACGGCGTGCCATCCGGCGCCTAAACGTTGTAGTAACCATTGGATGAAAATTTAAAAAAAAACAGGCACGTGCACACGTTTGTAACTCCGGCGGAAGCTTCGTCGAGAGCAACAAAAAAAAAGAGCAGAACCTCGATTTCACCAGTGAACATGGCCATTTCAAGCGAGAACGACTTTTACTTTATGCAAGTAAAAATCGTTATCACGTCTGTCTCGCAGACGTGCGATTTTCTCTGCGATTCGGCGTGCGGTGCGACAATGCAACTGCCGGAGTGATGACGTTTCGTGACGTTTCGTGACGTTTCGTGACGTTTCGTGACGTATCATCGCGTCGCACCACTGCATAGTCAGTTCGGCAAGCAACAAACCGGCCAGATATTTTTTCCAGCATCGCACCGCCGCATGGGAGCAGCCAATCAAAGCGCGAGCATACGAATGGCGTCACGACACTAGTGGCGCCATCTCCCTGTCGTCGCTACCATCACCCGTGGTCCAAGACTCCAGGCGAGTCGATGGAGCGGTGCGAGCGTGGATTTGCTGACATCGCCCACTGCGGCGGCGTGACAAACATCGAGTACATTTCCCTGGTGGCACGATATTATTCCGTATTGAATAAAGTGATGCTTGAAGTGTGCCTTTTCTGCAAGACCAACGCCCGTTTCGAAACCGCTAGCGAGATAGGAGATCGTGAGCAGCGATGCAAGGTCATTTCTCAGGTAAACACGGCTACCCATTTCCTTAACCTCGTGTGTGGGGAAGCTTATAGAAACAATGGTCAGGGATAGGCTTTTCCGATTACCTCGAAGCCCGTCGAACCTTTGCCGACACTATGTACGGCTTCCGTCACATCGCTCGGCTCAGGACATTCTCCTGCAACTCCACCGTGACGCTATTGAGCCGGTAGAACATCCCAGCGACGACAAGGTAGTCCTCGCCTTGGATCTCAAGGGAGCTTTTGATAACGTTACCCACGAAATAATTTGCCCATCTGTCCCAAACAGACTGTGGGCGTAATGCTTTCAGGTTCTTGATGGAACGGCAGTCGTACCTCCGCATTCAAGACAAGGAGCACGGTCCGTATCTTCCAGGTACTCGAGGAACACCGCAGGGAGCGCTCCTCTCTCCCCTTCTGTTCAATCTCTCCATGGCTCATCTCCCCAACTGCTGAAAGATATCCCCGGTGTACGGCACGCTCTGTATGCCGACGATATGACGCTGTGGGCAACACACGGTTCTCTTGGCTGCATTGAGGCCAGCCTGCAGCAAGCAGCATCGGTCGTGGATGACTACGCCCATCGCGGCGGCCTCGAATGCTCCCCCGTGAAATCGGAGTATGTGCATCTTTGCCCTAAACCAGAAGACATGACTGAAATTGTATTTTCCTTGCGCACCGGGCCTATCCCGGAACGAGAGGAAATCCGCGTCTTAGGTTTCTTTATACACAAGAGCCGGAAAGTCGATACCACCCTGCGCAAATTATGTACGGTCGGGGATCAGGTGGGCCGCATGGACCGCTTAGTCTCGAACAAGTGAGGGGGTTTCAGATGCCGCGATGCTCTACGCCTCGCCAACGCTTCTTGACCAGTCGAATTCTTTATTCGACACCCTACCTACGTTTGCGCAAATGCGATGAGAACACGCTAGACAACATTCTCCGAAAAATATACAAGTGCGCCCTAGACCTCCCGATCACGACGTCTAACCAACGTCTTGCAGAGCTGGGCATGACCAACACGTACGGGTAACTCAAAGAGGCCCATCTCAACAACCAGTACCTGCGGCTTACCAAGTCGCACGCTGGGAGATGTCTCTTACGCCTCCTCCATATCTTTTACACCTACAATGCAGAGGGGCGGACCACGATCCCAGAGGACTGGCGTGGAGCGTTGGTTATCCAACCTCTGCCCCAAAACATGGCTAGGTGGACTCACTAAGGCAGGCGAACTGTGCGGCTTACAGCTTTGCAGGGATGCTATGGGTCCCGTCTTGGAGTCTTCTATACGGACGCGTCCGGCCCTTACCATGGGGGGTGGTAAACGGCGGCCGTAGTCCATCAAAACGTGCCTGTCCAAGGGCTCACATTTCGAGCCACGGACATCACTCATGCAGAGGAACTCGCCATAGCTCTTGCTGCAGCGTACCCCGCATCTCGGTTTTTTATTACCGATTCGCGGAGCGCGTGTCAGAATCTTGCTAAAGGTCGTATTACCGTTCGCGCTGCTCGAATACTTAAGCGCTGTGGTTACATGGACCGCCCGAATACACGTTTCGTCATCTGGACTCCAGTTCACGCAGGACTAGGTGGTAACGAGGCTGCCGATACCTCGGCCCGCGTGCTTGATTTCCGGGACCCGCCTCGCTCTTCATTGCCTGATGATCCAGAACCTAATCCGGTAACCCCTTTCGCGAAATTACAGTGATGTACAAATCGAACAGGCTCCAATTTCCGCCCCCAGCGCCGGGCCTGACTAAGTCTAACGGGCGCTGGCTTTTGCGCCTTTACACCAACACAGTATTGTGCCCGCCTATACTTGAGCACTTCAATCCGGCCTTCTCCGGGGAATGCCCGCACTGTGCCCATCCGCTAGCGGATACTTTTCACATGGTGTGGGCATGCCCTTCTAACCCGGCGGTCTCCCCTATCACTTCCCTACACCCCCTACCCGAGAGAGATGGGAGGCTGTCCTGCTCGGCTGCTCGGCCTTGGCGGGCCAAAGAGCCCTCGTGGCCAGGGCGCGTGCCGCCGCAGAAGCCACAAAGGTCCCGGACTAGGGACTCCTCCTATAGCTTGTAAAAGGTCGGCCCTTAAGGTCGTCTTTCTCTCTCAAATGTAAATAGTGTCATTAAATGTTTTTCACCACCACCACCTACCGGCGTCTCTCACTGGCTCGCTTCGCTTCCACCTTTGCTCTTCACATCGATGGCATCGATAAAGTAATAATGTATGCTAACGCATTACATACGAGCGCAATGCTTGATAGTTTTGTCAAAAACAAGCGCTCGATGACGAGCTCACGTGTGAACGGCGTAGGTGACGGCCGGCGCCTGCGATGCTAGGCCTACCTGTCGGAGTCGTGAATAATCATCTGTTACCCTGGTTATGACGTGCTTGTCGTTCACGAATGCGATTTATTAATTATTTTATAGAACGAAGCGTGGCTGTGCACTGTTGTTTGTTTTGAGCCTCATTGCGGGGATACCAAGTCGTTCGACCCTGCAGGCGGAGGCGCCACATGGGGGCGGAGCCTGCCGCGCTCCCTCGCCGCCGTGTGTCCCAAAACGCCGCACCATGCGACGCCGCACGCCGCATCGCACGGAAAATCGCACGTCTGTCTTGCGCTTGCGACAAAGATCGCCTTCATATTTTACGAATGCAAGAATATCTTCTCCTTCACAAAAAGGAAATACTGGTGAGTCTTCCGATGAAACGGCGCTGGCAGGTGAGGCCCTTGTGGATGAATCGGAGAGTGGAATCGGAGTTCTTCACCTTGGTAATGCGGATTAGAAATTTGAATTCTTAGTAGCTTTTTTTTATAGAATTGTTTCGTCACATTGTGAAATGTTTGCGCAGATGCTTTTGCTGATGGCTGGGGACAGAGAGTATTTTAAAAAATACTATCGTATGACACCTGAGACGTTTGAAGAGCTCCACTCACTTGTCGAGGAACCGCTCACTCGGATGCTGGTCACAAGAGATCCCGTGCCATCAAAAGCAAGGCTTGCCATTACTATAAGGTATATTCGCGTACCACTTCACTGTTTAATTTTTTTGCTCTTATCTTTTTCCATATTAACTAGAAGACACTCACAGTTACTTCATTTTCAGATATCTCGCCTCTGGAATGTACATTCAGGATGTAGCCATGGCTTTTAGAGTGGAAATTTCCACAGCCGCCGGTATCATTCATTTCACTTGCAGGCTACTGTGGGGTGTACTGCAACCTGTTGTCTTAAGGTACACTGTACGTATTTTAAAAGGAATGTGTTCCTTAGCCTTTTCTGCCGCTGTTTATGTAAAATCGGCCGTCCGTGCTTTTGTGCTCTTGTTTTTGTTTTTTTCGCATTTTTGCGTACATGCCTGTTCTATTGAATGTACTCGGTGACAAAGGCACAAGTGGACATCACTCAAATTTTTTCAGTACTGCTCTGACCTCATGACGGGCTTATTTCAGTAGCCCTCCAAACGTTAAACTATCAACTTATATCTTACCAAGTACAAGCATACCTCTTTTTTTATTGATTTTTCGCTGTGATGAGACATTCGCTTATAGATGACGATATTTCAGCGTATTAGCGATGACAACGTTGCTCATTTCAGATTCCGACAGCTACCAGGTGGCAAGAGATCGCAAATGATTTTTGCGACAAGTGGAATTTCCCTCTTTGTGTTGGAGTGGTGGACGGAAAACATATCCAAATTCAAATGCCACCACACTCCGGAAGTCTTTACTATAACTACAAGGTGATGGTGAAATTGCGTGAAATGCTTTAAACTTCAAGCATATCCTCTTATCAAGTTTGTAACACAAGCTGAAGGTAGAACAGACTGAACATTTATTTAGTGCCGCGTCTTTAGTGTACCTTGTTCGATCAATAGGTTCTGAGTTCTTCTCTGACGACCAAATTTTCTCTTTATCGTAGGGGACCTACTCCATTGCCTTGATGGCAGTGGTCGACAGCAACCTGAAGTTTGTTGCCATTGGGCGGCAGAGCGATGGGGGAACATTCAGCAACTCTAGATTCGGCCGAGCTTTGGAGAATAGCCTGCTGTGTCTTCCACCGCCGCAGCGACTACCTGATGACACCGCCATTGCTTCACATGTGTTTGTCGGTGATGAAGCTTTCCAGCTTCGCCCAGACTTTCTACGGCCCTATCTGGGGACTCGACTTGAAGATGACAAACGAATATTCAATTATCGCCTGAGCCGCGCAAGGTGATTCGAATGGCATGGAATTCTCATTAAATGAAAGAACTGTTGACATTAAGTGACTTATATGTACTTATACATAATGTTCTTGTGCTGTTCAAACCTACATTTTCTCTTATGTCAAATAGTCACCTATACTTGCGTCATGATTTTTTTACGCGCAGGAGGTGCATGGAAAAATGCTTTTGGTGTCATGACATCAAGGTTTCGAATATTCAGGAGAACCATAAACCTGCTACTATGAAAACGCTGACTATGTTGTCATGGCGTCGTGTGTTCTCCACAACTTCCTATCGGTAGACGTCTTCTACATGCCCACCCATTATGCGGATAGAGAGGATCCGTATGGAAATACAACGAACGGCCAGTGGCGCTCAGCAGCGCACGCAGAAGGAACTGCGGTGATTCAACTACAGCCTCCTGTGGCCCACAATTGCCGCAAATGAGCGGCTGAAACGAGAGATATTTTAGATCTTATTTTATAAGCCCACAGGGGGCCGTGCCTTGGCAGCGGGCGTCCGCCGGACTACGCCCTTAAAGTTTTTGCAAAATGTATCGTAGGGTACATGCCAAGGTGAGCGATGACTTTTTAGCGAGAAATTCAAAGCTTGTAATACACAAATAACGAGATAGCCTATACTCAATTTTCATTCATTCTTTTTTTTTGGGGGGGGGGGGGGCACGTAGTATCAGCTCATATTTTGTAACATACCGTGTTCTCTTTTCATTGAAGTTCGAGTGTCGTTTTACCTTAGTTATAATATTGTATAATACACCACACTCCATCCTAGTGTTATTTTATATATTAATGTTTTATATTTTATTTATATAATTCTGGGGCGGCAACTGACGTGGCTTCAGAAATCGTGTGTTTATGCATCGACACCACTGTATTACCGCTAAGCAAACATAAAATACTACTGGAAAGTAAGCTATCTATAATTTTATGCACAGTGTCATATTTGTTGAAACCGCTGTTTCCTCGCAGGCATCCATGTTACTGATGCTCCTGAAAGCAATGTTGATTCAGTAAATTATGACTATACATTACAAAGACGACAGCAAGCATACGAGTACTACGTTGCATTGGCTATTTAAAACTCGCGCTTAATATTGCCACCTGATGTTTACTATTACGTCACGTACCGCCTAGGTTCCAATACGTCTCTGAGGAAAGTCCCCTGCTCAGTGTGCGGCCAATATGCTGCCTTCGATGGAGCTGGGGCACCGCTCTTTTTGATTTTTTTCTCTTCTTTTATTTTTTTCCTGAATGTGTCCTTAAGGTTCTTTCAACGTGCTTGAAGTTCGTCTGCTGTCACTGAATGAGAAAAAATTTCACATCAGCGCAAATCTTTTAAAATAATACATGCGTGCACATCTATTTTGAATCTATAAGTTAAAAAAAAGTCTTTACATGCACAATGTGTACGAAAAGAAAATGTTCACGAACGGTAGAGAAATAATCCCAAGAGCAGTAAATGTCTACGTGACATGTGATGCATCTCGTTTTCTAATTCTATAAAAGCAAATGGGAACGTATGTGGGCATTCGAAATGATGAATTGATGGACTTTAGTGCCACCCCATAACTCCATGCTTGGTTCTTCAGTTATGCACACATGCACACATGGTCGTATACACACAAAAAGACATTGTTTACTTACCAGATTCATCGACTTCTCTAAGAATCTCGGCAATTTCTTTCCAGAGGATCATCTTCTTCTGCTTATTCCGGAAATGTTTACTCTTTACGTCCCAAAGAATATGTCGTTTAGCAACTTCAGCAATCGACAACTCGTTCAAAGCAGAGCGAGACATTTGTGAGCCGGGGAGAGGACGGATGTCGTCTGCTACTCGGAGCGAGTTCTTCTGTGGAGTGAAGTCCCCGCAGCGTGCTCGTTCACCCCTCGATTCGGCCCCTGGCATCACGGGACGTAACTAGTCGCTATGCCACCTCTGCCGCTAGCGAATTTTTCTAACTCTGGCGAATTTCACAAGGGCGTCTAGTCGCCGCGGTAGAAACCTGTTTTGCCCTCGCGCGGCGGCTGCCGCTCCGCTCTTGGAGCAAAATCGCTCGCATGTGAAACAGGCTTTATAAAGCGTTTTAAAAGCGCGAAAAAACAACCAGTCGTCGCACAATATGATAAGCATAACGCCTGGGCCGCCCAATGCTCCAACCCATTACGAAAGCTTCTTCTTGTTTTCCTGTTAACTGTGGCGCATACCTCACTGTCGTCAGCCACTGCATGGACAGTTGGCGCAAAATTCCTTGAAAGTGTTTAGCGGATACCGCGCTTCTCAGAAGAATAACGAAAAATAACATAGCAGAGGCGGGCCTACTAACGAAAAGTTTATTATTGATGCCTTAGTGGGTACCAAGCAAGTGTGCTTGCAGTATAGTTACCCAATGAGTGTTTTGAAAAGGCTCTGAAAGGCCACTCTTCTATAGCTTTCGCTGTGACTGTGCTGCGCCTACAGTGCAGGCCTGGCTTTTTTTTTTTTGCCGAGATACGCTTTTCGCTATATGAATCGCCTGACAGGTACAGTCTTAAGTTGCACCAACGTAGTCATGCTTTCTCACATGCACCCATTAGCTTCCAAAAGCTAATGGGTGCATGTGAGAAAGCTAATGGGTGATTACGCAAATCAACGAGAAGCCTAATGCAATTAGCTCTGTAGAAATGCACTATGACCGCCCCTGACACCTTCATATGATGCTGCAATACTGGTTCACCTCAAAGCCTTTCAATTTATTATCTCTGGATATACGCTCGTCACTGCTATCATTACAGTATGGTTGGAGGTGCTTGTCGCTTTTCGTACGTTGAGTCGACTAAGCCAAGTCAAGGATGCGAAACTGTTTACCATACTCCAGCGATCGCATGGTTTCTTACAAAGAGACGGCACGAGCGGCATTTTTAAGACACGAATTACTTACTATAACAAGTTTTCCGAGCATGTCGGCATGCCATTTATCTTGCATAGCTTGCCTAGTTGTTTCTAACGCCTAATGATTGTTGTTCTCAACTAATACAGTGCAAGAAAGGAGGAAAAAGAAGTGAATGGAAGAAGCCCGTAGCTTCATTTTCGCCAAATTCAGTTAATATATTGGGTTCGGGATATTTTTTACGGTGTGTGCGGTGGGTGGACTATCTCCACAGTGGCAGCTAAACATCGGTGAGTCGGAGTTTCACTACGCATCGAGTTCGAAATTGCCCCTTAGCGGGCCCGTGCCCCATGCCTGGCAAAGCCCGGATATGGGGGACAACGAGATGCCACTAGCACCGAGCGGAGCCCCGCTTATCCATCCCACTCGACTTCAAGTTGCTGCAGGCTCAGCAACGATAGCGACTTTCTATACAGAGAACAGAGAGGCCTCGCAGTGTAAGACAAGGCGTACAGAGGAGGGAGAAGAGGTTGACTACGATGATGCCACATCGACATACTCTCCTAATAAAATAGCACAGATGGATACAGAAGCACTCAAGGAAGACGAGGGAGCCTACACGGTGGTCATCACAAGAACCGAGCTATGGGGATATCGGTGGTGTTTAGACCAATCGCCACCGAGGGCTCCTTTTGGAAGGTGAATCCAAATCGCATGGCATCTGAGATAATCTCTGCTATCAAAGAGAGAGTGACATCATCAAGAATCAAAAGAAACGGAAGCTTTTGTGTTGGAATATGGTCTTTGTACTCGGAAAACAAGTTGCTGTTCATCAAGTGTCTGGCTGGTTTGCCTGTACAAGAGATGATAACTCAGTCTTACATGAAGACCCTGGCAAAGATAAGAGATGTTCCACTTGAATACAGTGATTATGACCTACTGGAGTATCTTAAGGATGTCGGAGTATTATCAGTCACACGACAAAAGAGATGGGCAAGAAATGAAGATGGAAGTGCCACAATGCAGCCCATACGTAATGTGATACTCCAGTTTAGGCATGACATGCCATTGCCAAAAAGAGTTTCTCTCGGTTTTGCGGTTCACCCTGTCAAGGACTACATTGAGCCGGCTGTAAGGTGCTACAACTGCCAGAGATATGGGCATATGGCTAAGATTTGCAGGGGAATTAAGAGATGCGAGGCATGTGTGCTCGCACTTGATTACAAAGAATGCACCTCGAACCCTCATTCTAAGTGTACCAACTGTGCTGGACCAAATCCGGCGTCGTTTCAAAGGTACTCTTGAAACCGTTTGGCATCGGCTGCACAAAGAGAGAGAATTGTAAAAGGGTACCACAAGATACAAAGAGGTCGGGCGCCGAATGCAGATATAGTCGAACATGTTCCTGCGGGACAAAGAAATGCATAACAGTGGCACCACGACTCTTACTCTCAAGTGTTGAAGCACTCATCACCAAGACATCGCGTTGGAAAAGAGGTCCGGGCCCAAGAACATGCTGAAGTTTCACTTTCTGCCAGGCTAGACACAGCCAAGGAGCTACTGACTACCAAAGGGAAGGGTCACAGCAACCTGCTGAGGAAAAATCCTTCAGAAAATGCGATCTCGGAGGAGACAGCCGGAAACGAGCAAGTCATTTTGCCAATAATCTTTGCGGCTCTTAAAGCAATTCTACGACCCCTGCCACAAGCAGGCTCTTTACCAGAAGTGAAATTGCTGCTAGATCTTGAGCATCTTATTTTGTAGTAATCATGGCTGCCGGACTTTCTAACTGGTACAAAAGAAGTGCAATATTCCAGTGGAACTGCAACGGCTTGCAGAATAAGAGTGGAGATTTCCGGAAATTTGTTGTTCAGCACGAGTTTCCGATTTTGTGTATTTCTGAAACAAGAGTATCCACTAACTTTCGCTTGTCCAATTATGTGGTGTACCAAGCAGAACGTCCTACTGCAAAAAGCAAAGTGATGTTGTGTGTGAGACGCGATATTCCATCGACACTGGTGGCTACTTCAAAAACAGATGCGCCGGAATGAGTTAGATACAAGGTGAAGCTTGGTAACATTACTGTAACTGTAGTTAGTGTATACGTGCACCCTCAAGTAAAAGTTTCATACGCAGAGCTGGCTGAAGTGCGTAAATATAATTGTGATCCCGTAATTATACGTGGTGATTTTAACGCGCACCATAAATCGTGGGGTGGTGAGCATTGTGATATAAGGGGATCTGCTATAGTAAAGATATTCGAAGACCATGGTTACGCTATACTAAATTATGGTTTTCCGACGTTCCTGCGGGGCATAACTACTGCAGCGTACTATGAATCACTGTGTGCTGCTCTGAATCGGCGGCTGGAGTGTACTGGATTACAGACACTGATACAAGAGGAAGTGACCACT